CTTAATGTCTGCACAACGCTTGACCAGGACCTTCTGGCTTTCATTGTTTCTATTGAGAAGTCAGGTGTAATTTGGATAGGTCTGCCTTTATATGTTACTTAGCCTTTTTCCTTTGCAGCTCTTAATATTCTTTTCTTTATTCTGTATGTTTAGCATTTTGATTTTTATGTGGAAAGGAAACTTTTTTTGATCCAGTCTAGTTGGTGTTCTGTAAGCTTCTTGTATCTTCATATGCTTATCTTTCTTTAGGTTAGGAAAGTTTTCTTCTGTGATTTTGTTGAATATATTTTCTGTGCTTCTTTTCTTTTTTCTATCCCTATTATTCTTAGGTTTGGTCTTTTCATGGTGTCCCATATTTCCTGTATATTTTGTGTTAAGTTTTTGTTAGATTTAATGGGTTTTTTTTTTGACCTATGAGTCTATTTTCTCTATAGTACCTTCAGCACCTGAGATTCTCTCTTCCATCTCTTGTATTCTGTTCTTTATGCTTGCATTTGTGGTTTTCTCATAATTTCTGCTTCTATAATTCCCTTGGTTTATTTTTTCTTTATTGTCTCTATTTTGGTTTTCATGTCTTGAATTGTTTCATCTGTTTGATTGCTTTTTCTTGATTTTCTTTAAGGGATTTGTTGATTTCTTCCAATTTTTTGTTTGTCTTTTCCTCCATTTCTTTGAGGGAATTTTTTATTTCCTCTTTCAAGGCCTCAAACATTCTCCTAAAGTTATTTTTAGGTCATTTTCTTCTGCCTCATCTATATTTGGTTATGCAAGTCTTACTGTTGTAGGGCCACTAGTGTTTGTTGGTATCATGTTGCTCTTTGTGGTGTTGAGTGTGTTCTTACATTGTCTACCCATCTTTTCCTCTGATTGGTGTAGCTGGGACTGTGTCTCTCATGATCAATCTTCCAGCTGCCAGTGGATCCAAGGCTCTTATGGTTGTTCCTCATGGTGCAGCCAGTGACCCTAGAAGTCATTAGATGTTCCTGGAGGTCACTCAGCACTCCCAGGAGTTGCTCTGCAATCCCGGGCATCATTTGGGCCTGCTCCCTCAGTGGTTGTACACTTGTACTGCTCCTGTGGAGGTTGCTGCCTCGGGCCTGCTCTGGCCGCAGTGCATGCTCTGAGTCATCTCTCCTGCCCTGAGTTATTTTATTTTTAGTTGCATGTGTCTGTGGTGAGGTATATGCACATGAGTGCAGTGCTCATTGAGGCCAGAAGGGGTCATCAGATCCCAGAGCTACCTGACATGGATGCTGAGAACCAAACTCTTTATCCTTTGTAAGAGCAGCAGGTACTCTTAACTGGTAAGTCATCACTCCAGCCAGGGATTTCTACAGATTGAATAATATTGTATTTAACATCTACTGCATCTAACTAGGCTGCCTTATTGCAATATTTTGAGCTTCTTTGAGTTTTGTTTAGATTTCTTTTTGTTGGCAGTTATAACAGTTCTATATAGATTCTTCATTATTTTCTTGAAATAAGCTAGGAATGAAATCTCCAGGTTGAAGGAATGGGTTTTTGTTGTTGTTGTTGTTTGTTATTGTTGTTGTTGTTTTAGTTTTTTGAGACAGCTTTCTTCTATAGATTTGGGGCCTTTCCTGGATCTAGTTCTTGTAGGCCAGGCTGGCCTGGAACTCACAGAGATCCACCTGCCTCTGCCTCCCAAGTACTGGAATTAAAGGTGTACATCACCACCACCCGGCCCGGGATGTGCAATTGCAATGTTTTAAATTGCCAAATAGTTGCATTTGCCTTCAAAATTCTGTACGACCTTCATTCACGATAAAAATATTTAATATTGTCTACTCACTTATTAGGATTGAAAATTTTATAAATCTTAAAAAAAATACAAATCTCTACCTACCTACCTGAAACACAATAAACTATACCTAACTGTATTAATTTTCCCATCTTTGGCAGCAAAGTCAAACTTTCTTTTTCATGGGAAGGCATTCTCATCCTTCCTTCTGCAAGTTACCCCTCTCTGCTGTTTGTCCATCTGACTGCTAGCCTGCTTCTCTCTCTGTTGTCCTATAGGAACTCTCCTTACAGCAAGGACCCGCTGTTCCGCTGAATGTGATGTAAATCATGGTTTCCCAGTCTTTTATCTTTGTTGAGTCTAAACATCCCCTACTAGCTTTACTCTCTGTGGTAGGAGACATTTTTTAAAATCACTTTGTTTCTTGCCAACCCTAAAATGGCTCCCTTAGTTAAGATATCTTCTTTCCTGCTCCCATATCCACCCTTCCTCCATTTCAACCATCCCATTCTCACAAGCTCTCCCCAATCCTCCCCTTCTCCCTTCTCTCTCCCCATCTCCCCTTCCCCCAAGCCCCCCCCCCCCCCCAATGCTCCCAACTTTTGCCCGGCAATCTTGTCTACTTTGTTAACTCTGGTTATTTTTTCTGATGTGGACTCTCTGAATGTGGCTAACAATGAGGGTGGACTGAGAAGCCAATGATAATGACACCTGGTTTTGATTCTACTGCATGTACTGGCTTTTTGGGAGCATAGTCTGTTTGGATGCACACCTTCCTAGACCTAGATGGAAGGGGGAGGGCCTTGGACTTCCCACAGGGCAGGGCACCCTGACTTCTCTTTGGACTGGAGAACGAGGGGGAGGGAGAGTGGTGGAACGGGGAGGGAAATGGGAGGAGGTGGAAATTTTTAATAAATAAAAAAAAATCACTTTGTTTACTTTGTGTACAGGAAGGGGAGGCAGTCAGTCGGAGACACCGTGAGGAACTTGGTTCTTTACTTCCGACACTGTGAGGAAGCTGGGTCTCTGTTTCCATAATGTGCGTCCTGGGAATCAAACTCGGGTCCTTGGGGTTGGCAGCTGGCACCTTTACCCCGTGAGCATCTTCCTAGCCCCGGGGACATCTCTGAATCCACCTCAACACACAGCACGGTCTCCCTTCTGTTTCAGGGACTCACCAAACACACTGGGGTAAGAGTTGGAGTTATTTCTCGCCCCACTCTGAGAACACAGAGTGTCACTCTGAGAACACACACCCCTTTTATCCAGAGCAGCTGGTGGTTGGTTCCAAAATCTACTTAACATATCGACGGAACAACTTATGTGGTCATTTCAATGCTAGAGATTAGACCCTGCCCTTTGCTCACACTGAGAATGTGCTCCGAGACTGAGCTGTAACCCCGGCGCACGGAGGACTGACTACATGCAAGGTACTACGCACGCTACAAAGAGCAAAAGATTTCATTATAGTTGGAGGATGCAGGTGATAAAGACAAATAGAAGAAATGCATACTACCCCAGGTATATCAAGGCAGAGTGCAATCGAACGTAGGCTGAGAAGGGAATTGTGGGTAGAGTACATTGAGGAGCAGCTGAGAGGTGGAGAGGGAGGAAGTGCTGAGCGAATGTCTGCAGAAAAGGCCTTTGAAAAGCAGATTGAATGGTGCATACAAGCCCAGCACAGATATAGATAAGGATCAGCACAGCAGTCAGGCGGCATGCATAGGGCAGCCCAGAGAGCTGGGTGCAGTGGCACCCGTCGTTCACTGTCTACAGGCTGTTGCCCAAACTTGGCTTTTCCTGTGAGTGAAACGGAAGCCCATGAAGCAGAGGCCTGTCGTGTGTGTCATGAAGACATCTCCAGCTGGTGTCTGGGGACAGGACTGGGTGTTCAGGTGGACACAGGTACAAAGACGGAGGTTGGAGTACTACAGGTGGCATCTCAGACCACCTGGGCGATGGCAGCAGAGATGGTGAGTTGGGGAGGGGGTTCTGGGGTGCTGGTCATTGTTTGAGGAAGAGAAGCCAGTTGAGTTTTCTACTATAAAATGTGAGAGGGAAAGGAGAAGGATTAGTGGTTCTGAGAATGTGGGCTGGAGCAGCTGAAGGGCGCAAGCAGGATGAACGGAGTTGAGGGAAATTGAGGATGATGCAGCAAGCGGGATTACAAGCTTCAAATCGGGGAGCATTGAGTGTGCAGTGCTCAACCATTGGGCAACTGGACACTGGCCGCATGGAAGAGCTGGTATTTCAGGGTTTTTCCTTCTCCCCTGCCTATTCCTACTTTACTCTTTCTGGTTCCTTTTTGGATTTTCCAAAAGTTTAAAATCATAACCAAGTTACGCTTTTACAAGAGAAGAAAAACAAACCACACTGAATTTTAAATAATGGCAGGAGAGAATGGGCTATGGCGGGAATAACTGCATGTTCCAGACTTTCTATTAAATCTGTTTGAGTCTACATACAACTAGGCATTTCAGTCAATTTGACGTTCTCTGTGCTCCTCCCTCACTGGAGGCCCCTGCTCTGAAGGAGCTCTCTATGCTGTGGACTCCTTCCTGGAAGATCCGGGTGTGAAAGGCTAAGTCCCCAGAGTAGCTCCTCAGTAGGTGGGATTCTAAGGAGATGGTGCCGAAGGGGGAATTCTGAAGTCACTGGGGATGCTCTTAAACAGAATCCGGATCCCTGCTCCTTCCTCCTCCTTTGTTTTGCTTTCTGAGCACAAGGCTTTTGTCACCTGGCACTTCCCCCTGAAACACAAAACAATGGACCACTGCCCTATTTCAACCTGATCTGGAGCCCAAAGCAATGGGTTTGCCCTATTTTGACCCAGAACCTTCTCAACTGTGAGCAGAAATAATTTTTTTTCTCATTGCAAGTTACTGATCTCCTATTTTTCTGTAGTAACAATAAACTGACTAATACAGAGCTCCAGGGCACATCGTGGTAAATGCCTAACCAAACCAGGCCACAGGAAAGCACTCCCCAAATTCCCACATGATAAGGACATCTAAGGCACATCGGCTCAATACAGATCATCTCTGGGTCACACTGAGTGTCGTGAGCACAAAACAGAAGAACACAGGTAGAGCAGTCAGTTCTCTCTTTACTGAAATACAACGACTAGTCAGAGAAGGTGAACGACACCACTGGAAACAGGCCAGCCCTCTCCCCTTGCACACACCCTCAGGCAGAGTGGACAAATGTCTTGTGGTCAGGTGTGGGGTAGGGTTCTCAAGTCAGCTGACCTCCATGGGTACCATCTGGGTCCATGGCACAGTACCATGGCTTTGGACAGTTTGGGGCCCTGGCCACAAGTAGCATTACTCTTCTTCCAGTATGGAGGGCGTGCCTGGTTGCAGCTAACATCCTTCAGCCCCTTCTGACACTCAGTACGGACACTTGGACGAGTGGCATGTGGGTGTGCAGTTCGCAGCTGAGCTGGAAAGCAGAAGAACAGGTGGGGTGCCCAGCCTATCTGCCCTCCATGGGCCAAGGACAAGAAAGGGCAGCAGAGGGACATCAACAATGCTTCCCGAGCCATTTAAAACACACAGCCGGTTCTCACCCACATTGTATGAGGGGTAAAGTGGTGTGGACTGGCTTACCCAAGCTCACACAGCTACCTAGAACCCACCCTCAGAGCTACCTGACCCCTGTGCCTCGCACCATTGGCCGGACTGTAGTCGGAGGCCGCTTGTTTGTTTCCTGGCTTCCCAGATCCGAAATAACCACAGAAACTGTATTAATTACAATACCTCTTGGCCTATTAGATTGTCCAGGCAGCGAGATGTTTCTGTCAATTCTAGAGTTTCGGAAGTTGCCTACAATGCACGTCCTGTTAACTTAGGCAATATTAAATCCTTCTAGAGTCTTTGATGGAGTTGAATAGATAGTTACAGTTTCCCTTAGTTATGATAAAAGATAAAGTAGATATTAATATTGTAACTATAATTCTTGCTTGATAACTGTTTTTTATATATAATTTCACTATGTTAAAGTTAAAACCTTCATTTTTTATTTAAACAGAAAAGGGTATATGTGTTGCTATTATTGGTTAGTGAATAAAGAAGCTGCTTCCGGCCAATGGCTTTAAAAAATTTAGCCAGACTGGGAGAGATAATATATAGAGAGAGTAGGCAGAGTCAAGGAGACGCCATGTAGCTGCCAGAGGGGAAAGATGTGAGCTGCCAGTTGGAACCTTACCGGTAGGCCACAAGCTTCATGGTAAAATATAGAATAATGGAAATGGGTTAATCTAGATATAAGAGCTAGCTATCAATATGCTTAAAGTGATTGTCCAAGCAGTGATTTAAATAATATAGTTTCTGTGTGATTATTTCAGGAGTCTTGGCAGCCAGGAAACAAACAAGCAGCCTCCTACTACACCAGACCTCAACAAAAATCAATACGCTTAATAAATCCCATAAAATAAAGGAATAAAATATAAAAACAATGATAATAATAAAATAATAAATAAAAAAGCACTGGCAACTTCATGTGGCTTCACTCCTGTCTCTCAGCTGCCTGACCCACTTCTGAGCTCCAGGTTGCTTTCTGACCCCTTCAAGTCTGTGCTCCCCTGTGGACACCCCCTCCCATGGGGATCCATGCTTCCTGCTTTGATGCTCATGACAGAGACATCTGTCATCTGTTTGTCTGTCCTGTGTCAAACTTGGACACCTTGTGGACAGAAGTCCTCACGAGGGCAGTCCCAGTGGGCTTCCTTGCTACTAAGAGAATTTAAAGGCCCAATATTTAGTCCCTCCTAGGGCAGTGATTGGGGAATACAAGAGCCGGCCTGGGCCAGTCGGATGCTCCTGCTCAAGACTTTGACCCTGTAACAAGCAACCCAAAGGCAAAGTGTCAGTGGGAACCTGTGGGGCAGGACATGGAGTGTGACGCCCACTGACCAGGAAGAGGACAGTGTCCCAGGGAGCATGTCCTCAAGCTTTTTTGTTTGATTTTTTTTTTGTTTGTATTGGTTTTGCAAGACAGGATTTCTCTGTAACTTTGGCACCTGTCCTGGAACTAGCTCTTGTAGACCAGGCTGGCCTTGAACCCACAGAGATCCGCCTGCCTCTGCCTCCAGAGTGCTGGAATTAAAGGCATGTGCCACCACTGCCCAATCGCATGCTTTTTCAAAGCTGCTTTTCTGTTGTTCCTTTGCTTCCGTGCATCTGGGGTCCTCCTTCCCCTCATTTGCATCCAAGAGCTTTGTTCCTCCCACACACACACACCCCATCAATGTCACCTAACTTCTTGGAAGCCTGGACATCTAGGACCTGAAACAAATCAGATCTGTGGCTGAAGAGATGGCTCAGTGGTTAAAAGGACTGGCTGCTCTTGCAGAGGACTTGTGTTTGGTTCCCAGCACCCACATGGTGGCTCACAACCATCTGTAACTCCAGTTCCAGGGGATTTGATACCCTCTACTGGCCTCCACCGACACCAGGAATGTATGTGGTGCACAGAGGTACATGCAGACAAAATATCCATACACATAAAATAGGATAAAAACAAAAATTAGATGTGGGGTGGGGATTTATTTACAATATGAAAAGGGAATAGGAAAAAAATTTAAGAGCTAGACAAGGCCAAATAGTGACGGATGTCAGGTCTCTTCTGCCTTTATTGAGGGATCCTACTACCCACTTCCATCTGCTAATGGACCACCTCGCCTATACATCCTGGCTGTAGGACTTTAGCCCTGGCATAAGGCTGCCTGTCAGCCTCTCTTTCCTGTCTGTTCTTTCAAGAGGTAACATGGAGCCTGACCTTCTGTGGTTCTCATTGACTGTGAAGGGTGCAGTCCACAAGGCTGAGACATTGGTGGAAGAGGGGGAAGGGGCAGTCTGTCTTAGGGGGCACACCAGCTCTGTTCTCACTGTTCACAATAGGGTAGAACTTGGCCACTTCATGAGGCCTGCACTGAGCTAGGCCTATGGCCTTTATACTAATCTTCTACTCCAGTACCCCCAAAAGCCTTGACCCCAGAACCTTCCTTAAGAGAATTTCTCCAGATTGGTATACAAACACACCACCATCTTTCTCCCTGCCTGGAGCATCTCCGAGGGGTTCATCTGTATCTAGCATCCCTACTTCATACCCTCTCCCACCCGTGTGATGTTTACTGGGATGTCAGTCGTGGTGGCTGGGATGTTAGTTTTGTCAATCTGATGCACTCTAGACTCACCTGGAAGAGTCTCGATGAAGCATTGTCTGGATCAGTTTGGCCTGACTAAGGGAGATTGTTGTATAAAGTTATTTAATATGGGAAGACCTAGCCCACTATTGGCGGCACCGTTCCCTTGGCTGGGGTGCTGGACTGTATAAGAGTGGAGAAAGACTGGGCGGTGATGTATCCCTTTGATCCCAGCACTGGGGAGACAGGCAGGGAGATCTCTGTGAGTCTGAGGCCAGCTTGGTCTACAGAGTGAGTTCCAGGACAGCCAGGCCGTTACAAAGGTAGGCTGAGCAGTAACATGTTTGTGTTCATGTATTCCTCTGTGATATCTCCCATCCTTATGTCTGGAGAAAGACCATGAAGAATGGTCCCTGGGGTCCCCGAGAGCCCCTCACTTTTTGCCTGATGCCTCACTTACCTGGTGCATCAGCTTCTCTGCAGCTTTGGGCTCAGTGAGGTCCTCAGGGGAGGACACACTCACCCGTACAAGGAGGAAGCCGCCATCTTCGCCTGAAAGTTGAGGATAGAGAAAAGATGGTAAAAACAGTCCATTCATCTCCAACCTGGGCCCTCTCCATACGAGTCTAGACTCCTGCTTGTCTTTCGTTTGTTGTTTTGTTTTTATATTTTTGAGACAGAGTTTCTCTGTGTCATAGCCCTGGCTTTCCTGGAACTCTCTTTGTAGACCAGGCTGGCCTCGAATGCAAAGAGATCCCCTTACCTCTGGAGTGCTGGCAAATAAACCCTAACTTCCTTTACTTCAGTCGACTGTGAAAGTCACCAATTTTGGAGATCATGAAGTAGAGCAGCATAGCCTGGGTCCCTCGCTAACCCACTGCAGACAAGACCTCCAACTCGGGTTTCATGACACCAGGCAAGTGTGCTGCCTTTCCAGGCTCTGAAGTCACTTTTGCAAAAAGCATCTGCAGATGTCTGGTGAGCTGCTAAAGCAAGGTGAAAAGGCTTGACATCTCTGCCTCTACACTCTATCTGTCTCTTTTGCCACCTTAATCTTTAGATCAGATTTCTATTCAACTTTAAATTGTTGATATTAACCATTTGAGAACTGTTTCATATGGAACTATAATACAAAGTTGATTTCTCTTAACTTCATCTCATATGAGAATGACTAAGGCAACAGGCCACTGGCTTAGCTTCTAGAAGTCTCTGGAATCCTGTCTTTTTTATTACACCCTGCTCCTTCCTCCCCTCCTTAAGAAGTCCTTCAGATTCCAGATGAATCTTATTTCCTTGTGCCGACAAAGTCGTTAGCCTTTTGTGGTGGTAGAAACAAAGGTGGGTGGGCCTCCCAACTTTGCCCACAGCTAGTGCCGTGTCTGATTCTTCTGGGTTAGGTATAATAACAGATGTCTTAGACCGCAGCTGCTGTGGCCACCTGTAAAAGACCCTTTTCAAATCAGGTCTATGAGCATTCCCTCTTTCAAGGCTCAGGGAGGCTCACCAGGCCCGGCCCCTCCCCAAGGTTACATAAGAGGTGGGATTCTTTGGTGACCTGACTGCCTCTGAGCCATCCAGGCTCCCATAGGTAACACCAAGGAATATGTTGTTTTACCAGGCTGGACTACATAGAATCTATGAAAGCTCTCACTATCTGGGGCAAATAGAAATAAACCTTACTTTATGTTTCTTGAGAAAAAAAAAAAAAAAACCTTGTGATAGCAAGCCAGTCCTGGCCAGGGATTCCCAGGTTAGTCCCAGCTGCCTATGGGATCACTGTTGCTCCAGATAACTAACTTTCCCTAAACTGATCTGGCACTGACTGATTTTGTGCCTGATGGTTGGACCAATGAATGATCTGAGAGGCTGTGGATTTGGAATTCAGGCAGGGTAAATTTCCTTGAGATGTGTGCTCAGAACTCTTTTTCTGAGTTTTTGAGGTCGTTCAATGGGTCAAGGGGCTTGCTGAGTAAGCCTGGTGACCTGAGTGTGGTTCCTGGAACCCAAGTAAAGTTGGGAGAAGAGAAATGGTTGTACAACGCTGTCCTCTGAACTCCTGATGTACACATGGCACATGAATACCTGTTCCCACCACATACATGCACACACTCACACACACACACTCATACATACACACACTCACACACACACTCATACACACACCTTCACACACACTCACACACACCTTCACACACACTCATACATACATACATAAACTCATACACACACCTTCACACACACTCATACATACATACATAAACTCATACACACACCTTCACACACACACTCACATATACATACACGATGATAATGATATGGAGGAGGAGGAGCTGGAGGAGACAGACAGAAGGAAAGAGAGAAAGAAACTTAGAAAAGGATTCTTCTCCACTGCAAGGCCCTCTCTGTGAGACACACCCATCTGTGGTTCATCCTCCATGCAGACAGACTAGTTTTGTTAACAGAGTGCTCCGAGGGAGTGGGAACAGCAAGAGGACTTGTGCCTAGAACCTAGGGACCACCCCACATATATGACTTCACAGGGGGACCACCCACGTGTGTAGTAGGAGGCTGTTTGTTCTTTTCCTGGCCACCTAGACTCCCGAAATAATCACACGGAAACTGTATTAATTAAATCACTGCTTGGCCTATTAGCTCTGGCTTCTTATTGACTAGCTCTTACATATTAATTTAACCCATTTCTATTAATCTGCGTATCTCCATGTGGCAGTGGAGATACTTTGCTTACTAGCAAAGTTTCAGCACGTCTGTCTCTAGCAGCAGTTCCATGGCTTCTCTCTGTCTCCGCCTCCTTTCTTCCAGCATTCTGTTTAGTTTTCCCCACCTACCTCTCTCTATTCTGCTCTGTGCAGGCCCAAGATAGTTTTTCTATTAACCAATAGTATTCACAGCATACAGAGGGGAATCCCACATCACACGTGTGTGACTTCACCAGGGGAACACCCCATGTATGTGACTTCCCCCCGGGGACCAGTCCACATGTGTGACTTCACCCAGGGACCACCCCATGAGTGTGACTTCACCTGGGGACCACCCCACTTGTGTGACTTCGCCTTTGGCTCTCAGAATGGGAAACATGCCATCAGCCTCCAAGGAGAAGCCCACTGAGGCAAGTTTTGGAACTAACTATGGGTATGAACTCACAAAAAGGAAAAAGCTGGTCTTCTGCGGTAACACTGCCTGGTCCAGATGTTCTTTACAACCAGGCTGAGAAAATGCTCTGAAAATGGATCCTGAAGCTAGCACTGGGCAGAATCGAATTCAAACTCGCAGTGCGAACTACACTGCAATTCCTAGGCAGAACTGAGTTCAAACTCACCAGTATGAACTACCCTGTAATTCTTAGGAAGAACTGAGTTCAAACTCACAGTGAACTAGCCTGTAATTTCTAGGCAGAACTGAGTTCAAACTCACAGTGTGAACTAGCCTGCAATTCCTAGGCAGAACTGAGTTCAAACTCACCAGTATGAACTACCCTGTAATTCCTAGGAAGAACTGAGTTCAAACTCACAGTGTGAACTAGCCTGCAATTCCTAGGCAGAACTAGGTTCAAACTTGCCAGTGTGAACTACCCTGTAATTCCTAGGCAGAACTGAGTTCAAACTCACAGTGTGAACTAGCCTGCAATTCCTAGGCATTTCTTTGACAGAGTGTCTGCAGTTACTCCATTCTCAGGTAAAAATTTCTCTCGCACATTTATGGAGCTCATGACAGCCACCATCCTATCGGTGGCCTGCACCCATGACAACTATGTTCAATCGTCTTCCTCTAGTGCTATAGTAGCTTTGTCAACTTGACACAGGTCTACACACAGCTGGGAGGAGGGAATCCCACTTAGGACTGGCCTGTGGGCCAATAAGTCATCTCCCCAAGTTCCTTTTAGTCATGGTGTTCACATAGCAACAGACAGAACACTAGAGCATCTGGCTAACACTAGAGCATCATTCTGGGGTTCTGCCTACTGACTGTGAGGAATTTTTACATTGTTTTCTGTCCAGAATATAGAAGATATTCAATAACATGGTTGTGGTTAAATATTTCTCTGTTTTAAATTTTGTTTTGGGCTGATTCTGGTTTTCCGATAGGGTCTTACTCTGTAGATCAAGTTGGCTTCAAACTCACATTCCGGCTTCTACCTCCTGAGTACTGGGTTGCAGGGCCTGTGATATCATGCCTGAAGATGTATGACAGAGATAGAGCTGACAGAGACGATAAAGAGATGGGATAAATAGTAGGGATAGAGATCAAGACAAAATGACGCTGGTAGAGATGGGTATGAAAGAGAGAGACGGTAGAGACAGGTGATAGAGATCAAGATTGAGGTGGACACATAGAGATGATGGAGACAGAGAGACACAGAGAGGTACAGATGACAGAGGCGGAGATTTTTCAGGGCTTGGGGTCAATGTAGGGTCTCAGGCATGCTCACCAGTGACACGTGCTCCATCACTGAGCTATGTCCTCAACTCGTGATTAGTATCTTATTTCCCTTGCTCAGAAAGCTGGGACAAGGCAAAGGCACTCAGGAATGAACCACAAGGACAACACTACCAGCAGGGGCAGATGCTCTCTCCGGGCCGCCCACAAGCTCTTCTCCCACAGAGCTGATATCTGGGGGGCTCCTCAGAGACGTTTCTGCCATTTCAGAAGTTAAGAGTCAAGCTCCCCAAATGCTGATTCATTGGTTGCCTAAAGTCGCTCTTTATGATAGAGAACACAGCAAACATGGTCACTGAGCCCCACTTCCATGTTCTCTGCATGCTCACGTGGCAGCGATTTGGACAAGTTGCTTGTCCACATTCCTCCCTTCTGCGTGGGCACGACTGACTTAAGGGCCAAGTGTTTAAAATAAAAAACATTTCCAATTTCCCCTGAAGCACAGCAGTTGCACAAGAGTTGATGCTGTAAAGGTCAGATCTGGGAAAGATGCTGTCCGTCCAGTGCAGTGCTGCCCGTCCTCCCAGCCAGGGTGAAGAAACCTAGGCTCTGAGGATGGGGACAGGTCCTGTCTCTCAGCTTAAAACAGCCAAGATCTCAACCACTCCTTGAAAACCTATTTCACACTTATCACATACACATGACCATATGGTATACACATGACATGACATACACATGATCGCATCACATACACATGAACACATCATATACATATCACTACATGGCATACACATGACCACATCACATACATTTGACAACATCACATACACATCACTACATGACATGCACATCACTACATGACATACACATGACCACATCACATATACATCGTAACTGCCTATTATCAACCTACAAAGGAAATCATGAAATGTCAGGGAGAGTTTGCAACATCGGCCTTGAACCCCTTCCTTCCTCTCAGCTCCTTAAGAAATTACTCCGAGCCGGGCGGTGGTGGCGCACGCCTTTAATCCCAGCACTTGGGAGGCAGAGGCAGGCGGATCTCTGTGAGTTCGAGACCAGCCTGGTCTACAAGAGCTAGTTCCAGGACAGGCTCCAAAACCACAGAGAAACCCTGTCTCAAAAAACCAAAAAAAAAAAAAAAAAAGAAAAAAAAAAGAAATTACTCCGAATCAGCCAGGCGGTGGTGGCACACACCTTTAATTCCAGCACTTGGGAGACAGAGGCAGGCGGATCTCTGTGAGTTTGAGACCATCCTGATCTACAAGAACTAGTTCCAGAACAGATGCCAAAGCTACAGAGAAACCTTGTTTCTAGAAACAAAAACAAACAAACAAACAAACCCTCCAAACCTAGCAGAGTAGCGGTGGTACAAACCTTTAATCCCAGCACTCGGGAGGTAGAGACAGGAGGATCTCTGTGAGTTCGAGACCAGCCTGGTCTACAAGTTCAGGGACAGGCTCCAAAGCTACAGGAAAAACCCTATCTCGAAACTGCCCCCAACCTCCACCAAAAAATACTCCAAACCTAAATCTGCGAAGACCACACATGGAGGTTTCACTTACCTGGATCGTGTTTTGGGGTTCTCCTTGTCCAAGAAGTAGTGGGTGTAGATGATGAGGGCATCCCTGGGGTCTCTGGTGAGGCTGTGGTCTTGGCTAAGGTGATGTTTGGGTTTTTGCTGGTGCTGGCTGTACTTGAATAGACAAAAGGAAGAGGGCTACTACCTGCGAGGGAGGAGCTGCTGGTTCTATCATCTGTGGTTAAAGTGTCTGAGGTGGGAGAGCCCTTGGTGGTGGCCCCTGCTGAGGGGCTGATGTCTGAAGTTGAACCAGAGAAGGATATTGTTTCTGCCATTGTTGTTCCAGCAGCCCTGGGAACTGTAATTGTTTCCAAGACCTCAGTGTGGCTTTGCGTCTCAAGAGAGAGTGCTGAGGTTTCTTTCAGTGGACTTGCACTAACTGTCACCAAAGTCCTACCAGAGGCAGAAGTCTGAGCCGTTGTTGTTTCTCTCTCTGTGACGTCACTAGTAGGGAGTGTGCCCTCCGGGGTAATGGCAAGAGGTGAGGTACCAGTTGTCAACAGAGTCCCAAATGAGCTTGTGGTCTTGGGGCTAAGTGGATTTGCCTCAGGGGATTGAGGCAAAGTTAGCGACTCAGAAGTGGACAAGGCCTCTGTAGGGCTGTGGTTTGTGTCAGAGGTCCCAGGGATGATGGCAGGTGTTTCTGTTTCTGTGATGCTAACGACAACCAAGTCCTTGGTTGGAGATGCAGTGTCGGGTCCCAGGACCTGTGGGCTGGTGAGGGCCCTAGCTGAGTTGTCCAAGGTGGAGCCGCTCTCTGAGGACAGGTGTTCAGCTTCTGTGGACGTGTGAGCCAAGGTCAAGAGGTCAACTGTGGTCGTCCTACCTTCTTCAGAGCTGTCATCTGTATAAAAGGTGTCAAAGATAGTGTCTACGGGGTCACTCACTGTGCCTGTCTTGACAGTGCTCATTTCTACTTTGGGGCTGCCACTTGTAGCTGAAGTATCTGTAGGGTTGGGGTGCACAACCATGAAGTTGGAAGGCATTTTTATTGCAAGAGTTCTGGTCTCTGTTACGGGGGAAATAGTCTGGGTCTTTAGGGTCAATTCAACAGGGAGGATGGTCGGGTTCTCTAGGGTGCCTGTTGTGGGGAAAGTGGTCTGGGTGTCCAAGGATGCTGCACCAAGAAAAGTGGTCTGGGTGTCCAGGGATGATGGTGCAGAAGTGGTCTGGGTGTCCAGGGATGCTGCACCAAGGAAAGTGGTCTGGGTGTCCAGGGACGATGCTGAAAGAGTAGTCTGGGTGTCCAGGGATGATGCTGCAGAAGTGATCTGGGTGTCCAGGGTTGATGCTGCAGAAGTGGTCTGTGTGTCCAGGGTTGATGCTGCAGAAGTGGTCTGGGCGTCCAGGAATAATGTAGCAAGGAAAGTGGTCTGGGTGCCCATGGTTGATGCTGCATAAGTGGTCTGTGTGTCCAGGGATGCTGCAGAAGTAGTCTGTGTGTCCAGGGATGCTGCAGAAGTGGTCTGGGTGTCCAGGGTTGATGCTGCAGAAGTGATCTGTGTGTCCAGAGATGACGGTGCAGAAGTGGTCTGGGTGTCCAGGGACGATGCTGAAAAAGTAGTCTGGGTGTCCAGGGATAATGCATCAAGGAAAGTGGTCTGGGTGTCCAGGGTTGATGCTACAGAAGTGATCTGGGTGTCCAGGATTGGTGCTGCAGAAGTGGTCTGTGTGTCCAGGGTTGATGCTGCAGAAGTGATCTGTGTGTCCAGAGATGACGGTGCAGAAGTGGTCTGGGTGTCCAGGGACGATGCTGAAAAAGTAGTCTGGGTGTCCAGGGATAATGCATCAAGGAAAGTGGTCTGGGTGTCCAGGGTTGATGCTACAGAAGTGATCTGGGTGTCCAGGGATGACGGTGCAGAAGTGGTCTGGGTGTCCAGGGATGACGGTGCAGAAGTGGTCTGGGTGTCCAGGGATGACGGTGCAGAAGTGGTCTGGGTGTCCAGGGATGACGGTGCAGAAGTGGTCTGGGTGTCCAGGGATGACGGTGCAGAAGTGGTCTGGGTGTCCAGGGTTGATGCTACAGAAGTGGTCTGGGTGTCCAGGGATGACGGTGCAGAAGTGGTCTGGGTGTCCAGAGTTGGTGCTACAGAAGTGGTCTGGGTGTCCAGGGATGACGGTGCAGAAGTGGTCTGGGTGTCCAGGAATAATGTAGCAAGGAAAGTGGTCTGGGTGCCCATGGTTGATGCTGCATAAGTGGTCTGGGTGCCCATGGTTGATGCTGCATAAGTGGTCTGTGTGTCCAGGGATGCTGCAGAAGTGGTCTGTGTGTCCAGGGATGCTGCATAAGTGGTCTGTGTGTCCAGGGATGCTGCATAAGTGGTCTGCGTGTCCAGGGATGCTGCAGAAGTGGTCTGTGTGTCCAGGGATGCTGCAGAAGTGGTCTGGGTGTCCAGGGATGACAGTGCAGAAGTGGTCTGGGTGTCCAGGGATGACAGTGCAGAAGTGGTCTGGGTGTCCAGCGATGATGCTGCAGGGGAGGAGGCCTGAGTATCTATGCTAAATGCGGCAAGGGAAGAGGTCTGGGTCTCCAGAGCTGACGCTGTAGTGGAGGTGATCTGAATATCCAGGGCTGACGCTGCAGGACAGGTGGTCTTTGTCTTCCCTGTTTCTGTTGCAGGAGAGATGGTCTGGGTGTCAGAATTGACCTCTGAACTGGTACTGGTTGCAGCTAAGGTGTTAGAAGGAGTTTCAGCGCTCAGAGTTTGAGCATCTAGAGGAACGTACTGAATAAGGTCAGTGGTCTGGAAATCCCCCGCTGAACCGCGCCTGTCCCTCTGAGTGAAGGCAAGCACTTCCGTGTTGTTCACCGTCACCACAGGAGCAGAACTGCCGATGGTCAGGCCTGTGTCGGGAGGAAACAACTTGGTGAGTCCTGATAGGCTGACTTCACATGGGTGTTTGTGTTTATGCCCTGGGTGCTGCCGGATGGCACATTGTCTATATAAACAAAGACGAAGAAAGCAACACGGAGAAGTCATGGCCTCCATGGCGGCTCTGAAGACAGCCGCCCTGGCTAGTACCCTCTGAAGTCCTGATAACCCTCTGAGACCAGGCAGCCCCAGGGTCCCTGCTGATCACTGGGATGCAGGGCAGTGTGGCAGTCTTGTGCCATCAAGGGTGGGCAAAGGAGACACAAACCCCACATGAGCCAAGAACTGCAGAGCAGGAAGGAGGACTTCCAGAACGTTCTGTAGAACTTTGTCATTCCCTGATGGGTAGTTTGCTCACCCCCAAAGTATTTTCCTGTGGAAGTATTTCCTTAAAATCCAAGAACGACCTGCGGTTTCATCTTTAGAGGTAACGGGTAGGAGAAGGGAGAGGAGCCCCCCGCCTGAATGTAAAGTGCCCTAGGAAAGCGAGCAGTCAGGGAGCCCAGGACAGCTCACTTGGGTACAGAGAGAGATCAGGTGGGCACATGAGCACACCTGTCCTCCCTGTGCCCACTCAGTCAGTCCAACCACACCCTCACACCCACATCTGCAGGAGTTGCAGATCGCCATCTCCACAGACCTCCCCCACTCCCGTCCAAGCTCTTTCTTGGAGCCTCCTGGTCCACGGAACCCACCCGGGTCGTAGGATGTTGTTGCATTCCTCCAAACTGGAGGTGAGGCAAGTCTGGGCGCAGAGCCAGCTTTGAGTCCCACCTCCGCTCCCTGTTCTGCTTTGTATAATTCTGTGACACAAGCCAAGCCTCTGGGCTCCAGATGGAGCAAGGGACCTGGTTTGTGGGGTTGCACGGTTGCAGTTAAGCAGGATGAAAAGTGCAGCATACTCTGTCAGTTGTGAGTGTGTGTGACAGGCAGGGTGGGCCAGTGGTTAGGTACTAGCAGCACAAGCTGGCTCTGGGGACCAATTAGTCCCTGTAAACTGCAGGCTCCTCGCCCTTAAGGTGGCAGTGCTGGTCTTAGAGATGAGTGCCTGTCCTTAAAGTTATGAGAATTTAAAACGTAATGTTGGACCAGTCAGATAGCTCATGTGGGTAAAGGTGCTTGCCACCAAGCTTGATGACCTGAGCTTAATCCCCAAACTGTCATCCGGTCATCTGACCTCCACACATGTGCCGGGTCTTCATAGACTCTCTCTCTCTCTCTCTCTCTCTCTCTCTCTCTATATATATATATATATATATATATATATATGTGTGTGTGTGTGTGTGTGTGTGTGTGTGTGTGTGTGCCAAATCAACCTCAGGCCTCCACATACAATGCACACATGTTCACACACAGCCATACACATATGAGTCCACACGTATGTAAAAACATTCTCACACACAGAGAAAATGGAAAATGGGGAAAAGAAATAAATACACACATACATAAAGTCTGTATAGCAAGTTGCAGGCAGCCAGGGCCCTGCCTAGGGAGACTCAGTCAATAAAGAAATAAGTAGAGTCTAGTGTGGGGTGCCCATGTGGGGCCATCACTATGACAACGCTGATGCTGGGGCCATGGCTGGCAGGACCGTCTGTGGTAGGGACAGGACAGAGGCGATGCCTCAGGACCATCTGCTCGGCTTTGTGTGAACCTAAAACCATCTCTTTTCCATTGTGTGAGTGAAGGGTTTGGCACAGTGACTGTCAGTGGCAGACTGGCCTTAGCTCCTATCTTCCAGAAAAGGCCGCCTCTCTCAGAACCTCCCTGTCTGAGCAGTTTGTGACAGACTTTTCATTCCAAAGGCAAATTTCAAAGAGTAATTGTGTTGGCAACAGACTTGGATGAACGGGAGCTTTGCTAGGCCATATTTCTCAGTTCACAGCGAAATGATCACCAGTTGGCATCTCCCTGCCCCCTCTACCCTCCCAGCCCACTGTCCCATGCCTGAAGACTAACTCCCACACTCTGTTACAGGGATAGCCGGAGTCACCACGCCCAACTGACACATCTGCCGTCCTGAACACTCGTCCACAGTCATCATATTTTACACCCAGCAGGTTGTTAGTTGCAAATTAACAAAGATGCCTACCCTTGCCCACAAAGGGCTGGCTTTGCCAAAACTCACACCCAGAGCCCTGTCGGGGAGGAGCCCTGGGTCACTCCTGTCCCTTACCTGCAGATCTGGCAGCGACTCCAGCCTTCCAGCAGAGGAGAAGGAGAGGCAAAGCTAAGCCCCAGAGAGAGCCCATCTTGCCAGGCACTGACCACCGCTGCCTGGCAGACCTGCCCACTGCCTCTCTGCACCACTCTTTCCTGCTTCCTCAACCCAGGGAGGAGGGGCAGCCGCCTGCCCAGGTGTGACTGGGCAGGTTCCAGGATGCAGCCAGGTGAACACAGACCTGCAGCAAGGGCTGACCCAGGCTTGCCCTCCTACCCCCACCCCCGCCCCCTTGCCTGGCAGCCTTGCCTCTCTGATTTGAAGATACAGCATCATTTCCATTCTGTTAGCCTCCCCTGCAACTGGGAAGGGCGTGGGAGAGATGGTGTTTACTCCACTTACCCATACCTGGGCTCTGGGCTTCATGAGCAGGACCCAAGTTTCTCTGCTGAGCCTAGATTTTATTAGTTCTAAGGATCAAAGGCAAATGAGACAACTTTTCTGAGCCTTAACTCTTTGATTTGTGAAGTGGATATGCTCTCTGACGCAGGAGGCCGTTAAAGTTCTTACAGAATGTCTCCTGTACATTGCTGGTGCTCATAGAAAATACATACATCTCAGATGCTCAAGATGTAAGTGGGAGCGCCCCTCTCCCACCAGCAGATGTGCGTGTTCCTGGGGTCTCCAGGGGACAGTGTTCCAGTATAGGAGCAGGACTCTCACTTCTAATATCTTTCTATTTTCAACAACCTGGGAGTTTGCCACTACGTCAAAGCCGGGACCACATGCCCAGCCAGGCTTCAGGTACCAGGATGTGGAGGGTGCCATTGTGAGGGAGATGACTGAGGGACAGCGGAGTGGAGTTACAGATCGTACATCCCTCAAGGGCTCCTTGGAGATTTTAAGTAGCTGCTTTTGGATGAAAGTAGTTCCACAATGGGGCAGACATGATGGAGGTCACAGACTCACAAAAGTTGGGACTAGAAAGAAAGATACAGTTTAAAACTGTGTTAAAACATCTGTCCTGTTTCCAGCTCTATCCTTTAATCGTGGGTAAGAAGCTGTGTGATCTTAAGACAGGTAGGTTGCCCACTCTGGGCCTTAGTCAAAGAGAGTTCTGAGGAACTCTGAGGAAGTGGGGTATGTCAGCCTCATCAGGAGAGGGTGCTGGAGACTGTGTGGTGGAGATTTGGAGTCGAGTGCCTAGGTACCAGTCCCATGAACACACTCTGTAGGTGAGTCTCTTCATCTCCCTAGTGAGGAGGGGCTCACTGCAGGAACCTGGACTTTGGGAGACCTTGCCAGATAGCCATGACCGGTTGTGAGGTGTGAAACTCTTCCATCCAGTAGCTGGAGGGAACACAGCAGGGAGGAGGGCACCCCCTCCTGCCGCACCCCTGCTGGGCCAGGGGCTTCCTCATTCCAAGAGCAGGTAGGTCGCTACCCCTGAGCTAATCCCCTGACAAGGTGCTCTTTTCACCCCCACAAGGATTTCCCCATGCCATTTCCTTCTCGCCTGAAATGCTCAGCCCCTCTACACACTGGCGTGGAAAGAGAAACAAGCTAAACCCTGAGATTCGGGCCAGCTTCTTCTGTATTCAGAGTCGGCTCCAAGCCTGGGCTGACGGCTGGTGGCTCCGAGGGCCGTCACAAACTTCACTAGAAAGTCCTTGGTTACCATTTTCCTCAGCCCAGGTCAGCGCTCGCCCTGAGTGGGCACAAGGCACAGGCGCCACTGCGTTAACAAGCACAGGCTTCTGTACTCCAGCCTCGGCTCGTGAGGAATCCATCATAGAGGAAAGCAGACAGAGCCTGCCCTCAGGAGCTAGCTCCCGAAGAGCGGGTGAACAAGGAACATGGGGGGAAAGGTGGATTTGTCACATGAGTGTATGCGGGGTGTGTGTGTGTGTGTGTGTGTGTGTGTGTGTGTGTAATACTAAATAACAAGTGAGAAGGTGGTAGGGACAGCTGCAGAAAGGTTTATGGGCACCAAAGAGCCACCGCGGCTGGAGTCACAGGAGTCAAAGACATGGGCATGGGGACAGCAGAATGGCCGGGATGGGTAATAGGCATGTCATGACTATCTGAGGCTTTCCTCTATCAGAATACAAACAGCAAGCTTCATTCCATAAAACAGAATGAGCATTCCTTCCGGTGAGCTGCGCTGACAAGAATACAGAACAGACGACACCAACAGAAAGACTGGGGCTGGATGGGCTCACCCCCAGCAGGGCAAAAAGAAAAAAGGAAAGACCAAAACAAAAAGTGACTTGGTGACTAGAAAGCATACTTTCCCGGTAAGGTGCAAACAGGGAACTAGACTATGAATCCCTGACTGGTTAATGTCAAGTCTCTTTTTGTTGTTGTTTGGTAAGATGAAAGAAATTCATCGCCTGTTCTCAAAATCTGGCCATTGACCTCTCTGATTTCTAAGGTCAGAATGTAGTTCCAGGGACGAGAGACTGAAACGACTCAATTTGGCCACTTGGCCTAGCTCTGAGCCTTGTCTAAGACAGGGGCACCCATCACTTTTAACCTGACAGGCAAACAAGCTGGAAGGTGTCCCTGGAGAGTTCTGTGTAGTAATGGGCGCTATCTCAGGATTTGGAAAGCCAGGCGGTGGCAACCTTGGCAGCTCTGTTGAGAACAGCGTAAAGATTAGGAGTTTTTGCCCAGCGTGTGACTTGGGATGGTGGAGAAGGTGAACGTTCTCTGTTTAGTGAAAGTAGAACCGAGAGCCATCCAACTTGATCGACATGGGCTGTCAGAGTGGTGTCAGGGAGCCTCTCAGCCCGCACATCAGGGAGGACCTGGAACCATCAGCACCACTGAGGATCGGCTCTCCCAACCTCTGTCCCCCACAAAACCAGGGCATATTGTGGGGGTGACTCTGATTTGGGACAAGGGCCTAACTGACCCCACAAAAAATGTCCTGGAAATGCAACGCCGTCTGTGTGCTAGACATGAAGCTGACCCTTAGCCCACAGGCCACAGCTGAGTCGGTTGGCTTCTTGTGTAGCTACCTCCTCCTCCCAACTTGGGTCTCAGAGTTGCAGCTTACATAGCACCTAAGAAAGGGACAAACTTTAGTTGCAAGTGCACTTGTGTGCTCGTTGTAAATAGCTCCCTGAACGGCCAGAAGGAAATGTTTATATACCAAACTTGGCAAAGGGTGCAGGGCTTTGGGCTGCAATGGGCAAAGTGTGAAAGCAGCTGTGAGCTTTGCCATGCACACGGGATGGACAGTCTCTCCACGGCAGACAGAGTAGCAGAAAAGCAGCTACGATCTTTGCCATGCGCACGGGATGGACAGTCTCTCCACGGCAGACAGAGTAGCAGGAAAGCAGCTACGAGCTTTGCCATGCGCACGGGATGGACAGTCTCTCCACGGCAGACAGAGTAGCAGGAAAGTGTGCTGATCCTGGGTTTTGAATGGGCTCTGTTTTAACCAGATAAATTAGGATATGACATTGCCGGCCCCCGGTATCTTCACTTTAAAAAAAAAAATCTTTATGCATGACTAGGGAGAGGGCTTATTGGGTGGAACGCTTGCCTCTGAGATGAGGAGGGCTTAAGTTTGCTCCCCAGAACCCACAGAAGAATGCCAGGGTAGGCTGTGTGTGCTTGCTATCCCAGAACTGAGGAGACAAAGAGAGAGGAATCCTTGGGAGTGACTGGTCAGCCAGGCTAGCCTAACTGGTGAGCTCCAGGCCAACGAGAGACTCTGTCTTAAAGGAAGTAGACAGTGTCCCTGAGGATGCCATCTGAGATGGTCCTCTGGCCTCCAAATGAATGTGCCTACATGTGCACATGAATCTGTACACACATCTGTGCATATGTGTGTGCATGAGCACGTGTACACATACGCACATTAAAAAACAAATCCCTCAAGCCGGTGGTGGTGGCGCACGCCTTTAATCCCAGCACTCGGGAGGCAGAGGCAGGCAGATCTCTGTGAGTTCGAGACCAGCCTGGTCTACAAGAGCTAGTTCCAGGACAGGCTCCAAAACCACAGAGAAACCCTGTCTCGAAAAACCAAAAAAAAAAAAAAAAAAAAAAACCTTCCTGCCATCTGGGGGTTCTGCGAGGGTTCCATAAGTTCTGCGTGTTCTGTAAGGACAGATGGTGTTCAAGGAACATCTCCGGAAGCTGACACATGACAATTGCAAATTCAAGACTGGTCTAGGCTAGCATGAGTTAAAATGCCTGCCTGGAAAACTTAGTAAGACCTTGTTTTAAAGTAAACGTTGAAAACAGAGATGGGGATACAGTTCAATGGCAGAGAGCTCTTCTAGCATGCATGAGGCCTTTGGATCCATCGCCAAATCCTCACAAAATAACAACAAACGGGCCCCCTTCCATCAGTATTCCCCTTCCGGTTGCAAGCCTTTTCCTCACTGTCACCATGGCTGGCCCTGAGCCACACGTAAATGGGACCGTGCATACACTTTCCGGTGTTTGGCTTCTTTCATTTAACATTATGTCTGCAAGGCTCACCAGAGCTCTTGTGTATAACAGTGTTTTCTCCTTCTGATGGTGGGTGGCTCCCCACTGTAATAATCAACCACAATGGGTCTGGCCATTTTCTTCTCGATAGATGTTTGGCTTTGGATCGACCCCAGTTTTTCACTAGTCCGCATCAAGTTATTACTCATGTTATCAAGTTTTATTGACTATGTATTTCCGGGACTCCATAGACCAGCTTGTAACCCATGGGAAAAGGGACGGGCATACCCATCTGTCACCAGATAGATGCATTTCAGACATAGTTCCCAAGGCCTCTTAGAAGATCCCACAGGTGAAGTAACCAGTCAGCCACCCCAAGAGCTGACTGGAGGGCAGGTCTTTGTCCTGGCCCTCTCTTCTTTCCTGTTTCACTTCCCTTACCCTAATCCCATCGGGGTTATGTTCCTAAGTAAACTACTCAGAGAAATCAAGCCAACATAAAACCATTAGCCAAGAGCTGGGCTCTATGCCAACAGGGATCCTTGCTGCAATCAGTTGCCCAGAGACGGTGTTCAGATTGGTCAAGGCCTAGAGCGAGGCGTGGGTGGGGAGAATGGGTGATTCTGATCAGCTGCAACCAAGAGTGGATGAAGGGGATTAGCGAGGGATAAAGTTAGAACTGTGTGCTGAGCTGGGCTGTGGCAGGCCAGGCCCAGGACTTTCGCCTTTGTTGTGTAGAGGGTGGAAGCCGCTGGCTGCCTCTGAACAGAAAACTGGCCTCACACCAGAGCTTTGGAGACACAATGTGGTTGGAAGCTAGCCAGAGACCAGTGCCAGGCAAGAGTACCAGGAAGGAGACGCTGACCTTAGACTGCAGTCATGGGGGCTATAATAGGAAGGATGGGGTGGTGTGACGTGTCATTAGAAGACCATCGGCAGAGAGAAGTCAAAGATGACCCTGGGGCTGAGTCCAGAAACTTGAATGTAAAGAACTATTCATAACCCAGGAAAGAATATAGGGGAGAGATGGTGGGTTGCTTAATTAAAGGTTATTGATTTCTTATTTTCCGCTTTTTTTTTAAGTGGGTGTACATGAGTATAGCCCAGGCTGGTCTTGTGCTCACTATATAGCCAAGGATAGCCTTGAATTTCTGATCCACCTGCTTCTACTTCCTCCATCTCCCTAGTGCAAGGGTAACAGGTATGTGTCACCATGCCTGATTTCTGGGGTACTGGGCACTGGTGGCAGGGTTTTGCACATGTTTGGTAAACATTCTATCAGCTGAGCTAGACTCCCAGCCCCCTTAGCTTACTTTCAGGTCATTGTAAGAGTATATGTGTGTAATCATCTCAACACAATGAATAACACTCTGAACCAAGTGTGTTTTTGTAATTTTTTAATGACTAATTCTGTGCACATTTAGATATGTTTGCAACAATACCAGGTTTCCATTTTCCCCAGGCTAAGCCAACATGGGGGCTCACAGGATGACAGCTAAGAGGCAGACATCCCCTGGGCTGGCAGCCATATTGGCCTCACCCAACCACAGGTGATGGTGGTTCTGTGTCCTGCTGAAGTGGGCTGGAGGAGGAGCCTCAGGAGGGCTCAGGGCCCCTTCCAGATCCCCTTCACAGTGACTGAGAGTGGCCTTCTGGGGAGGCTGGTGCGGAGGAGCTGCAGAACCTAAGTGAGCAACAAAGCCGGTCCTCCCTCTTGCTGGCATTCATGGGCTCATATTCTAACCATCTCTCATGCCAGCAAGAGCCCTGCCCGTCCATGCTTGCTCTCTGGGGTTGTCACCTCTGCCCAACCGGGCAGGCTCTAGGACCCAGAAGAGCAAACAGGCTCGGCAGCTATAGGAGTCAAACCAGGTCCCCCAGGCAGCAAGGACAGGAGCCAGGACCCCCACACCCCTTCCTCTTGTGCAACAGTGAGGTGTGTTCTTCCGAGCTGGGCTGAGCACTTTGGGGCCAGGGCACAGAAGGAAAGAGGAGGACAGAGGAGGGTTTAGAACACAAGCCAGTGAATTTGGCACTTTGCCTGTTTCTGTACAGCTCATAAGCGAAGGATGTTTTGTGTATTTTTCTTTTTTTAATATTCATTTTTTACTTGACATGTATTGGTGTTTTGCCTGCATATATGTCTGTGTGAAACTGTTAGATCCCCTGGAACTTCAGTTATACACAGTTATGAACTGTTTTGTGAGTTCTGGGACTTGAACCTGGGTCCTCTGGAAGAGCAGCCAGTTGCTCTTAACTGCTGAGCCCTCTCCCCAGCTTCCTGTTTTGTGTATTTTTAAATGACAGTGGAGAAGAAAAAGGAATAGTTTATGACATAATGAAAATGATGTAAGATTCAAATAGGGCACTCTGCCCTAGCTCATAGAGCCCCTCCTCCCCGTTTCCCTTTTACCCCTCTCCTCCCCTCCCTTCCCCTCCCCTTACAGAGAGGTAGGAGCAGGTTGCCACCCAGCCCTAGCAGAGGACTCTCCCAGGCACGCACCATGCTTTGCACCCAATCTTGATTGCTATTGGCTGAGTCGTTTGTGCTCCGCATCCTCAGCACCATCTGCAGCACCACCTTGCGAGTGTGGCCGGCTGAAACACAACACGAAAGCCCACTGTCTTCATCCGCGCCTCCCAGCCCACTCGCCCACTGCTGTTCACCAACTCTGTGGGCTTCCTTTCTGCTCTGAAGTCTCCCAGCAGGCCAGAGATGTTGGGACCACCACATTCCCCTAGCCTGGCCCTCTCCACCAATACCTCAGCCTCTCCCTGTGGGACCTCAAAAAGGCTCAGAGGAGAGCAGTAGGCAGAAAGACGAAAGGGAGATGCCAAGCAGAGAGGAATATGAAGACACTGTGGGCATGAAATGCACAGACTACAAGAACTGAAGAATTATCGGGGATGCGGTGCCATCCAGGCCGCATTGTGGCCACCAGCGAAAGGACAGGCTTGCCTCTGTCGGCGACAGCAGCCTGCTGTGCCACGGGTGGAAGTGAGCCTGCATGCAGGTCATCCGGGTTGCAGAGGGCCCTGTGGTCTGGACAGCAGTCTGAGAGCACACGGCAGAACTCATCGCAATAGCAGCTTCCTCTCTGGCAGTGGTGATCTGTTCCCGGGCAGCAGAGAGGCTGGGGCTGGGAGCAACTGCCTAGGGGAAGAGACATCAAACAGACAGAACAGGGACAACTGGATGCACACACGCGGAAGAATGGGGTCCTGCCTCATACCACATACAAAAACGGCAGTTCAAGGTGGCTCACAGACTTGGCTATGAAGGGAATGGCTGTAAGAAGATAGGCTGTAAGAAGATAGGCTGTAAGAAGATAGGTTTGTCAACTGCTTCCCTAACCATCTCCCTAAGCAGCTCTGACTCAGTTACTGTCTGCTTACTAACCCACAAGTATGCAGGTACATCTTTTCTAAGAGGTGGAAAAAAAACAGATTATCTTAATGCTTTGCTCTTTCCTTCTCAGCTGATTCCTCAGCACCTGCCTCGGGCCTTGTTTAAGGACAAACTTGAGGACTTCCCAGCATTGACAGGGTCAACAGAAACAGGCCTTTGAAGGGCTGCAAGGCCAGTTGTTATGAAAATAGGAGTCTGCTGAAAGGGTGGTGGCCTAGGACGTCTCAAGGTGAGAGTGGGCTGGGCTGGCGGCCTCTGGGCTTGCCTGCCACAGTCAGCTCAGGGAACAGATGATCTGTTTCCATTCTTCTGTCCTCCCTCTTCCCAGGTACCTGGTCTGGCATTCAGTACGGGAACCAGCTGGAGAGGGAGGAGTGGGAGAAGCCATCCCGATTAAGCTTGGCCTTGTTTATGTATTAGAAATCAGTTCAATATCTACTTTAGACAGGACAGGATGAGACGGGATGAGATGGTGCCAATCTGAATTAAATCAAATTAAATAGACCTACATACCTTACATTTAACAAGAATAAGTGGCTTTCAAAAATGTCTTAACTACATGCATGAATGAACTAGGTCACAGAACAATTCATGGTTATGAATATGGTCTGGAGCCAGAAAAACCTGAAAGTCCCTGGTCTAGAGAGATGCTCTCATCCTATAGATGGAAGACAGGCATGTACCTAAGGCCATGCCTGAGGTGGCCACAAAACTGGGAGATTCTAGAAGCACTGATTTGATTTTCCCCGTCCTGGCTTCCCCACCACCTTGCACCCAGGCCGGCCATTCACACAGGTGCTTGTTGCTTGGACCACCCAAGTCTGTTAGTCTCCAAACACCCTGCGGGCACCTGCTTCTGAGCCGTGGCTTATCCGATGCCGTCAGCTTGGAGGGTCCAACCCTTCCAAACCCATTAGAAGAAAATATTCTTTCACATCAAGGTCAGACTTGAACCCAGCTCCCCATCCGCAGTAAAGGAAACCACAGTCCCAGCGTCTGCGGGAGAATGGCTGGAACTGGAGTGTGCTTTGCTGGGTGAAGAGCCCACACTCGGAAAGACAAACATCACATTTTCCCCTACAGGCTGAGCCGAGCTTTTTAATGATTATGTATGTGTATGTATGGGTGGGGGTTGCAGTATGGGGGTGGGGGGAAAGACGTTCTAAGGGCTGAGGAGGGGAGGAAAGAGAAAACAGTGGACGGGATAATAGATTACACACGACACAAAAGTAGAAGGAAGGGACAGTGGGGAGAGGAAGAGGACTCACAGGAGGGAGACCGGGAGCTGGGGGAGGGAAAGAGAAGATCAACTGACATGAAGTTTGTCTGGAAATGCCACAATGAGATCTCGGTACTTTATACACTAAGAAGACAAATGACCCAGCCTCCCAGGCAGCTAAGGAACTAGATCATTACTGTGATGATGTTCAGGGGCTGGAAATGTAGCTCACTGGGAACATGGTAACTTTGGTCGGGCATGGAGACACACATCCATAGTCCTAGGACCTGGGAAGCTGAGGCAAGAAGAGCTTGAATTTAAGACTGCTTGACCACATGGGAACTCTAGAGAAAGAGAGAGGGAGGGAGAGAGAGAGAGAGAGAGAGAGAGAGAGCGCGCAGATGGGCAGGTTAGAAAGATGTTTCAGTGGTTAAGAGCACTTACTGCTCTTCTAGAGGTCTTGAATTTGGTTCCTAGCTCCCACATCAAGCAGTTCATGACTGACTGTAACTCCAAATTCAGGGGGATTCCCCTCCTCTAGCCTCTCTGGACACCTATGCTCACTAACATGTGCATCCACACACATAGAACATACATACATACATACATACATACATGTACATACATACACACATAGATGTACATACATGCACACATAGACGTACATGCATACACACATAGACGTACATACATACACACATAGACTACATACATACACACATACACTACATACATACACATCGACGTACACACATAGACTACATACATACACACATAGATGTACATACACACATAGACATACATACATACACACATAGATGTACATACATACATACGTAGACGTACATACATACACACATAGATGTACATACATACACACATAGACTACATACATACACACATAGATGTACATACACACATAGACTACATACATACACACATAGATGTACATACATGCACGCATAGACTATATACATACACACATAGATGTACATACACACATAGACGTACATACATACACACATAGATGTACATACATACATACGTAGACGTACATACATACACACATAGATGTACATACATACACACATAGACTACATACATACACACATAGATGTACATACACACATAGACTACATACATACACACATAGATGTACATACATGCACACATAGACTACATACATACACACATAGATGTACATACACACATAGACTACATACATACACACATAGATGTACATACACACATAGACTACATACATACACACATAGACTACATACATACACACATAGACTACATACATACACACATAGATGTACAATCACACATAGACTACATACATACACACATAGACTACATTACATGCACAATACACACATAGACATACATGCATACATACATACATACATACACACATATCGTCAGGTACTGATGACAAGTAATCCCAGCTACTTGGAGACTGGGGAAAGAGAACCTCAAATTCAAGGGCTGCCTTAGTGCGATCCTGTCTGAAAATGTAAAGCAAAGAAAAAGATGTGAAGAACCCGGGGCAACTGGCTTGGCTCCCTCCAAAGCTCTGTTTGGCAAGTTTTCTATAGAAGATGAGAGCGGTACAGGGTGTGGAAGGGGAGCTGGGCAGCACTTCCCAATCCTCCAGGGCCCCCATGATCTCGCTCCAGCCCCCCAATTCAGGCCATACTCATCAAAACCGAAGCCCTGCCCTCAGCCAGAAATGTTTTTACAAACCACCCGATAGCGTGGCTCTGTTCCAGCACACACCATCTGAAGTCTGCCCAAGAAGGTTGCCTACCCACAACAACCACTTTTCTTCCAAAAATCTTCTGGCATATATACCTATACTGAACTTCCTGCTGCGTTTCCAGGTACGTTTTAGCCAGTGACTGACTGGCTACTGTTAAACTGGACCTGGGTTTGTCACACTCACTGTCCCTCCTGATCCCTCACCCCCTCCACCAAAACTGTACACACCGCAACCACCGCTGAAGACTCTGCGGCTCCCCAAGCAGCCGTTAAGCTTGCCACAGAGACATCGTGTGAACACGCGGAGAAGTTACACCAGGGATGATCTGATCCGTGGGTGAATCGTCCAGAGGCGGCCTCGCTCACCAGAAACCAACGACAGTGACTGGCTGGGAGAATGAAGGCAAATGCAGGGTTTCTTCTACCTCTGGAACAGGGGTCAGCTCAGCTCCTTACCTGTCTTTTGTTTTGGAATCACAGGGCCCAGCCACAGAAGCAGGAGGAAGACGGGCCACATGGCTTCAGGCTCAGCAGAAGCAGAAGTGCTTCAGCGATCAAGGCCCAGCTTCAATGGCCACCCACTTGAGAGAGCTCGCCAGGTGTCAGCACACAGAGGAGGAGCCAGGTGACACCTGGTCATTGGCGAAAGAGTGGCACCATGGCCATGCGGGACAGGTAGTCCAGCTGCTTAGCTTACCTAGACAGAGGTCATTTTTACATCCATGACACCAAGCTCTGGGAAGAATCTGAAATGCCCGAGTGGCAGAGGTGCCGTGGACTTCAGAGTGTCTGACCTTCCCATTGTACAGACAAGGACGCTGAGGCCCGGGAAAACAAGGGGTACTTTGGGCTCACACAGCTTACTGTGAAGAGCTCAGATGACAGAGCTAGTCTCCCAGCCCCCAGTCCAGCGCTCTCCCAGTCAAGTGAGGGAAATTCTAAGAGTGGTGGTCCTATCAACGACAGCAGTGAGTGTGAGATCTCTGATCCCTTGCAGAGCTGGCAGAGGCCCTTGGCCTGGCAGAGCTGTTGCTGTTCTAACGACCGTGAAGGGCTGGGGGAAAGTCATTTCAAGGCTAAGGGATGAAGAGTTTTCCCCTTAGAGCTCATACTTTTAAAATGCAAAGAGTTTACTCTGTTGGGCATTTGGAAAATTACTGTGATTTGAATCTGGTTGTATCTTTGGCCCAAGAAAGTTCCAATCAATCTCTGAATGTAGCAAAGGATCCACTTAAGAGAGACTGTGGGTCCCCACCACAGAAAATAGCCCCTCCTAACCCCAAGCCGTTAGCTTCCGCTGTCGAGAAGACCCACCATAAATCTGGGCCACACCTTCTGGCAGCAGCCCACATAAAAGGCTTTGGAAGAAGGATGCTATTGCCTTTTTGCCTTTGTGCAAAAAGTTCTTGCTGGCATCTTTGTCTATCCTGCTGCCTAGACATTGTTCCGATGGTATTAGAGCCCGGTTACTTGCGATTCCAGCACATGGTGGAGACCATCTGAGGCATCCAGCCTCACAGGTGGAACAACTCACCATATTCTTGACCTTTCTGTCAGGAGACAGCCAATGGTGGACTAGCCAGACCCCAACTGTAATCACTGTAATAAATCCCCTTTTAATATACATAAATTCCTTCAGTTCTGTTTCTCTAGAGAACCCTAATACAGCACCCCCTTTCTCCTCTTTGTGTCTTTAACATTTTTATTTATGCATTTTAAAATTTAATTTTAGTTACAGTTACTTTTTGTGTGCATGCACGCACACGCATGCACGCACACACACGTGCAGGCACACACATGCATTTGGAAGTCAAGAGACCAGATCTGAGAATCATTTCTCTCCTTCCACCCTGGGTGCTGAGGATGGTACTCAGGTTGTCGGACTTGCAGAGCAAGCTCTTTACCCTCTGAGGGTTCTTGCCAGCCCCGCCCCTTCCTGTCCTCACTGGATTTTCAGTCCAGGGTTGTGGCCCCAGCAGTCATAAGGCAACAAACACCAGAATGAAGCAAATGGCAACATTGTTGAGCCTGACGGAGCAGAGAGATGGACGGAGCCTGGGTCCCAGGCTCTATGCAACCGAACTAGAGTTATCAATTGATGTCCCTCCGTCGGGGCTCTTGCAAGGACAGAGAATCAAGCTCCCATTTGTCTGGCATCTTGTTGGGGTTCCCGCAATGTGTAAATGAAAACATAGTAGTACAGTAATAATCTTTAAAAGTGCTAAGGCCATGGGCTGGAGAGATGGCTCAGTGGTTAAGAGCACTGACTGTTCTTCCAGGGGTCCTGAGTTCAGTCCCACAACCACGGGGTGCATGGTGGCTCATGGCTATCTAAATGGGATCTGATGCCCTCTTCTGGCGTTCAGGCATACATACATGCAGATAAAACACACCTTTAAAAAAAAGCACTCATACATAAATAAATGGATTTTAAAAAGTGCTAAGACCAGGGCAGAAAACTGGCTCTCAAGGGAGCTCAGCGGCCAAGACTGCTATGGTTTAGTGATATCTGTTCTCTAAAATAAATGCATAAACAAACAAACAGAAAAGGTTTATCTTCTGAGGGCAGAAGTCACACACCAGGGGCCAGCAGGCCTCACCCATTATTCTAGGTTTGTTTTTAGAAACAAATTCCTTGGGGTTTTCTCCATAATCGTGTCAACTGCAAACAGCTCAGTCCTGTTTCCTTTTCCGACCTTATTGGGGCGGCTAGAACTTGTTTCGCTGTGTTGAATCCTCGTTGAGAGTGGGCGCCCTCCTCTGGTTCCCAATACTAGGGAGAAAGCATGCAATTGAGCTACAAGTCAGCCGCGTGAGATTCGTGCTTCATTGAACACTGAGGGGAATTACTTGGCGCTGACCTCCTCGGGGCCTTAGGTTGTGGAGATTTGCACGGAGGAAATTTTTTGTTTCCTTCTCCCAGACGTCTGTGGGTATCATCATGCTGACTGCAACGCGGGGTTCTTCACAAAGTAGAAGCAAAGACTTAGGGGTTGCTATTTGTCTAGATGACTGATCTCTTCACTCACCTGGCTGGGTTGCCAACCTTGAGAGGCGTCCAAGACCCCAGGGAGAGGAACAGAGAGAAAAGTCGAGTACAACATCAAGGATGCCAGCAGATGGCGCCACCAGCCCAGAAGAGGACCGTGTCTTGTCTCCTCTCTAGGGGAGACTGCTGTTACCTGGACAGCATCCGGCTACTTCAAACATTGCAGGGGTATTAAAGGAGGTTCACGCTGAGGAGAGTCCACTTGGGTAACCCCTCCAGACGTCCCAGGGACCCTCGGACCATCGTATTTCCAGGGAAGTGGGAGTAGGAAGGAAGCAGCGTTTGGCTTCATTGAAGATACATGTTCAAAAGTTAGCAAAAAATATAGATTTTGGGGGATGAGTTTGACCTTTAAGAGGAAATAACCAGGAGTGAAATAGGCTTAAGAGAGACTGTAATTTTAAAATATTTTTATTTATTCAGTTTTTTTTTAATGTATATATATGACTGGTGCCTGAATGTATGTCCACCTCATAGATGCAGGGCCTGTGGAGGCCAGAAGAGGGCGTTAGAGGGAGATAGAAAGAATTTTGAGTTGCCATGTCTGTGCTGTGAACGCAGCCCAGGTCCTCTGTGAGAGCAATGACACTCTTAACTGCTAAACCATCTCCTTGGCCCCAAGCCTGGATTTTTAAAACGGGAAAACTAGTTTTCAATAGTTTTATCAGTTGTGCCTCTACTCGCCCTGGAAAAGGTCAGCACAAGGAATGGCCACAGCTGGTAGAGCCACGTTCTCCTGACAGCGGCTCATTTTCTGTGCATAGTGGGTCTGTGGGATATTTTTGTTTGGCTTATCATATTTTGAAACAGGGTCTGGCTATGTAGCCTATGCTGGCCCGGAACTCAGAATCTTGCCTCAGTCTCTAGAAGGCTAAAGTTACAGTCTGTGCCATGACACCCAGCTGGGTGGAATATTTTCCTCTTTTTTATATATTTATTTTGTTTTATTTGTTTGTTTTTACACAGGGTTTCTCTGTGTAAAAGCTCTGGCTGTCCTGGAACCTGCTTTGTAGACCAGGCTGAATTTGAACTCACAGAGATCCTCCTGTCTCTGCCTCCCGAGTGCAGGGATTAAAGGCACATGCCACCACCCCTTGGCTTGGAATAATTTCAAAATTGCCACCTGTTCTTCTGAAGACGATTCAGCTCTTCAGCGCACCCCACAGAGCACTGTGTTCTGGTCCCCGTGTTTTAGTGACAGGATAGGAAAACACAGGTGTGGCCTGGCCCAAGATGAGTCCTGGGGCAGGATGAGGAGGGAGTCTCACCTGGATGCCGCCTTTTCTCTGTGACGTGGTAATACTGTGAGGGAAGTGACAGAATCCACGGAGTGTCAAGAAGGAAAGGTCTGGGGTGGTCCCTGCTAAGAATGGGACAGTGAAAGTCAGGCAGGGGTGTGCCTTTAATCCCAGCACTGGGGAGGAAGAGACAGGTGGATGATCTCGGTGGGTTCAAGGCCAGCCTGGTCAACAGAATGAGTTCCAGGACAGCTAAGGCTGTTTTGTAGAGAAACCCTGTCTCCAAAACAACAACAAACCAAAGGGAGGGAGGGAGGGAGGGAGGGAGGGAAAAGTAGCGTGCATTTGAGCTACAGCGCAATGGTTCAACCCTTAAGGTTAAGATTGCTTTCGGCTCCTGCAAAAGCGTTTGGTTCCAGCCCCAAACATTGGTGACTCAAAACTGCTTGTGGCCGAGGCTCCAGGGGAAGCTATGCCTCTGGCCTCGGTTGGCAGGCATGTGTACAAATTGCTCCCTAACTCCACATACACAATGCACACATACTTTAAAATGATAAAAGAAATCTTTTAAAGAGAAAACTGGAAAAGTGAAGAGCCTTCGTGGAGAGGTCAAGACTTAACGGTGGCCTGATTTGCATCTGTGGGCAGCCCTGACAGTGAAACAGGGAGGCCCCAGGAGATAAGACCTGGTAAAGCAGAGGTAAGTGGGAAGGAGGGGCAGGCACTGGTGGGGTGGTGTACCAGGAAGGAGCTGGGCTGCAGGGCAGCAGGGGTTGAGAAGAAAGATCTTTAAGAGTAGTTACCTTCCACCAGGGCAGTGGTGGCTTTAATCCCAGCACTCGCAAGGCAGAGGCAGGTGGATCTCTGTGAGTTCGAGGCCAGCCTGGTCTACAGAGTGAGTTCCAGGACAGCTATGAGGACTGCACAGAGAAACCCTGTCTCAAAAAAACGAACAAAACAAGAGTAGCCACCATCACTGCCATGGGTGCACAGCAGGACTGGGCGCCCCCTGGCCACAGCAGTTGAAGGAGGTGGGGGTGGGGATGGAGGGGGGGATAGAAATACTGCAGGGGAGCAGCAGCGCCAGCTCCCCCCACACATCGCGCAGAGGATTCCGGAGTGAGAGACATGCACCCCACAAGGTGGAAGCAGAGAGCCAGCTTCCTCAAGTTGTCCTCTGAACTGTACATGTGCACTGTAGCACGCTCCCAACCCCAAAATAAAAAGTGA